TTCCTCGGGCTTCCCGAAGAAGCAAACAGCCGGTATTTGTGCCTGTCGTGTTTTTTTTGTCCACGAACTCCTATGTGGCGCGTTAGCCAAGTGGTTGGTAGTGATGGTTACAAGAATCTGCAAAGGGTGGCATGTGGGGCTCACAAACCACGTACTCCTTGAGCACCTGCTGCGGGCCCTGTCTCGCAAGTCGCGCTCGCGTTGAATTGGAGTGTTTTGGTGCTCGTTTCTGGCATCCCGGAACCCTCCAAAATGGGCAGCTTCCAATTTCGCAACCCAAGGGCACCATCCTAGGAAAACAGACGCTCTTTGGGAAACGCCTACTCATTCGAGTTGGTTTTGATGATGCTTCAGGGGCGGAGCCAACAAAAGTCAACTGGGAGCGGTGCCTGGTTTTGACCATGTTTCCTGTCAGGCTGTTTCAGTCAGCTTGGCTGCGGGCTTTTCAGTTCGTTTGTTTGTTCTTTCAAGGCGCTGGGCTCTTCCGCCTTGGCTTCCTTGGATTTCCAAAAAATGGCCAAGGGCCTGTGTCTTTCGGGCTTGGATTTGTGGCTGGATTTGGACTTTGGTTCTCGAGGGTTGGGAAACCACCCCTTCACCGAGCCAGCGACACTGGCGTGTGGCTTCGTTTTTGGCTTCGCATTGGTCTACCCCGCGGGCTTTAAAGACTCTATCCAATCAATCCCCATCTCGCAAAGCGAGCTTCAGCACAGTCAAAATTAGTTAGATTTCACTAAAACCTGATGCAAGGCCGACCCAAAACCGACGATGGAATTGTTCCAGAACCAGCAGAGACCAACCCCAGGCCAACCGTAAACCAAGCGTAGACCGACCCTGAGCCAAGCACAAACCCACCAACCAGACTGCGATGCGAACTGACAGTCCGATTCTGAATCCACCCGAACCACGCCCGACCCTAAACCATCCTAAGCGTGCCCATAGGTGTCCTTTTTGGTTGTTTTGCTAGAAAACTAGATGGCGATTCAACTGGTTTACCTGGTGGTTTAATCATCTACCAGAGACACCCATCTATTTCCCCCAAAAGGACACCTATGCGCAGGCCCATCAGTTTTTGGATGTTTTCTCCAGGTCGCGTCCCAGTTCTGCTTCAACCCCCGTCAGCTGGTCCACTGGTTGCGGGAAACGGCCACTGCCCTGGAGGCAATGGGGAGGGGGGGCCAGGGGGTTTGGTCCAGTCATCGGTGGGCTCCGGGCAACTGGCGCGGGCCAAGGGGTGTTTCCTTCAGGTTGCCGGAGGGGAACTTTGGGTAATCTGTAGAATCACTTGGGCCTTTTGGGGATCCAGCTTGGGCAAGCGGTTTGTTGGTTTGTTTTGTAACTTGCTGGAGGGGTGGATTTTGGGTGCACTTGCTCAACTCGAAGCGAGAGGAGATGGAGGAACTGACCTGGGGAGGGGATGGACCTCCGGAATGGACATTCCCGGAGCAGTCGCTGAACTTATCTCTGAGTACGTACCTCCGGCCAAAAGCCTCCTGCCAATACTTGTAATGGAACGCCCGCCGCGGCTCGCTCCATCTCAAATTCGGGCCCCAGAGTGAGATTAAGCTCTTACGCCGCGCATACTGGACACCCTCGTTGCTCAAGGGGGTCCCTCAAGTTGGCGAGTGAATGAATTCACGATTGTATGGCGGAGCTGAAGATCAGTGAGAAACGCCGGAGGTCCTTTTGAGACTTCCAACCGTTTTGGGAAATGAGCCACAGTCAAAACCCGGGTAGATGAAGGTCAGTAAGGGACGTTCCCAGCCAGAAATAGCTGCGGCCGCCTTCTTAGTTCTTTACATGGTTCTGGGTCAACCATTTTTATACCAGGTTTTGATTTTGACTCAAATTGCAGTGGGTCAAAACCAATCGGATCCCATTTTGGGCTAGGTGCACCGCCCATTTTAGAACCTATTCTAGTGGGGATTGGGATGTTCACTGGGGGTAACCATGGCCAAATGATTGCTGCCCCAACTAGGTCGCCCAGTAGTGCCCTTTTACCCTTTTTTGGGAGGGTTCCCCTACAAAAGTTGGTACCCTTATTCGAACCTCAAATCTGGAGGATCTAGCCAAACCTTGGGCAATTTGAAAGCAAGCGCCAGAGATGATGGCCAGAGCAAGAACTCGCGCTGGACTGTTGGGCGTCTTGGCGACCAGATGCGGCGCCCGTTCTTCTCACGCGCCAAGGTTTTTTGGGGCTTTCGGCGCTTACGTACAGCCATTGAGTGGTGAACCCAAAAGTCCAGACGTACTTTTGGGCCAGTGGTTCGGTTTGTTGTTTTGGGGCTATCCTCGGAATTTCGGAGCCCATTGGTGCAAGCCTTGAGTTGCAGACACCACTGGGTAATTCCCAAATCGCGTAACACAAATGGCTGGTATTTGGAGATAGGGAGAGCGGCTGACAGCAGAAAGTACTTCAACCTGCCTGGGAACCCCGAGCCCGTCAGGCCGAAGGTTTGCACGGCGTGACCTTCCGGGTGGGCGTGGCTGGCCCGACGCGCCTCAAAAGGCGCGGCTGGGTTCCGGGCCGCGACGTGACACGCGCAGAGGTGAGATTTCCGCGCGCAAGAACTTGCAAGCCGCTCCGTTTGCACATCGAACTTCTCATGAACAAAAGCCGATGCCGGCCGCATGGCGGTGATGCGGGAGGCAAAAGAGCAACTTTGATGCCGGCCTAAAGGGCAACATGCACATGTTGACCTTCCAGCACGCAACCAACTCTGGACCATGGACATTTACTGATTTGTGCACGATGTTTTTTTGCAAAAAACATATTTGTTTGTTTGCAAAAAAAACGAAACGGAAACCTGTCCGAAGGAAGCACCCCCGCATTCACGAGTCAATATGTGAGGCTGAAAACAATGCCAACCAAACTGCACAAGGACATTTGGGTTCGTCTCCAAATGAAGGATCCCCCCACATGTTCTCCCGTTGGTTTCCTGCGTAGCAACCCCTCCACAAGCAACTCGGCACCTTCCGTAGGCTGCGCCGAATTGCAGAGATTTGCGAGGCGCGGCTGCTCTCGTTCCAGCTGCAGGGTGTTTTGACTCAAGACCCCCAGACAAGCGGAACTCTGACAGGGGCACAGTATGTTGGCCCGATTTACCCGTGAAATTGTTCCATTGTCTGGCCATCAACAGTTGTTTTTCATTAGTTTGAACATGTCCCTCTCAAATTCATGCTTAGTATAATTCTTGCAATTCTTGTTCGGTGTCAAAGTCAATGTATATATGGGAGTCGTTCTAAAGGTCCTTGTAAGGAGTTTAGTATTCGGTGACCATCGGTGTTGGTGGAGGTAGCTCCGCGAAAGATTCGCGATGGAGTTGCGAAAGTAACTTTTTTTCTCGCGAAAGTTTTGCGTAACTGTGTCTTGTAAATCAATGATATGTGAAACCATTCATCTTTGCTGCTGAGCCTTCCTTCTGCGCTGATTACAACACTTTGTTGATTTTGCGCCGAAAAAGCCTGGTGAGGCTACAGTTTGATACCCTGCTTGGCTGGTTAGTGCCCCAAGCCTGTGTATGTGTGCCTGTGGGTGTTTACTCGGCGCCTTTCCGCTCTGAAACGTGGGTGGTTTTTCGCGAAAGTTCCGTGAAAGATCCGCGAAAGCCCCCGCGAAAGCGGCTTCGATTGTAACGGGGAGGTACTTTCTGAGCGCCGCGCTTGTCAGTATACCAGCTTGGTACTGGAAAGTTGCGACTTTAAGCTGGAGCTGCACGGCTTACGAAAAGCTGCGTCTTTCCAGCCCGTGCATGTCATGTACTACCCCTGTGATGAAAGTTGCGACTTTACAGCGGGAGTTGGGGAATCGAATTTCGCGCACTACGCTGGCACTTAAAATCAGCGATTTTCTGACTTGAGCAAGGAAAAGGGCACGGCGATGAATCCGCGAAAGATTCGCGAAAGTAACTTTTTTATTCGCGAAGAATGGCCGTTTCGAGACAAAGGAATTTAGAACAACCACCATATGCTACGGTTTTAGCAATTCTGACTGATTAAGGCTAATTACCCTACAGAGTTTCTATAGTCTCAATCCATGCTTCGAATAAACGATCAATGGTGAATGTGTACTTAGCACATGCTTCTTTCTTCAGAACATGTAATATTAGTTTGTTGGACTTGCTTTCATCAGTCGCATCTTTTCCATAATACTTGTTTTTGTGTTTATGCATTTCTTTTTGAACTGGTAAAAACATACTCCGAATTGTTAGATAGATTGGCAAACAGCGAGAGACAGAGATAGAAAGAAAAGAACAGCAAGCAAGAACAAACAAACTAAGAACGAAGGACAGAAAGAAAGAACAAGGACAAACAAAGTAAGAACGAAGGACATAAATAATGAAATCAAGAAGGAACGAAAGAAAGAAACAGAAAAGAAAGAAAGAAAGCGCAAAGGAAAGAAAGAGAGAGAGACGAGAAGAAAATAAATGAGGAAGGAAGGAAAGAAAGAAAGAAAGAAGGAAAGAAAGACAGAAAGAAAGAAATAAAGAAAGAACAAACAAACGAACGAAAGAACGAAAGAAAGAAATAGCGAAAGAAAGAAATGAAAGAAAGAAAGAACAAAGGACAGAAAGAAGGAAAGAAAGAAGATTAGAAAGAAAGACAATAAGGAAACAAAGGAAACTTCTGCCCACCGGCTTCACCTGCTCTACTAGTACGGCAAGCTCCCGAGGGTTGCCTGCGCCCCAAAGCAACGCCCCAACGCCCGAACCTAGACTTCTTGGAGACCCAATCCGCCACCACGTGCTCGAATGAGTCATAGCCAAGCGCTAGGGCAGAGACGGCGGCTGCTTAATGTGCCGTTCGGACAAAGCTAGCCGATACTTCTTGAGAGCTTCTAAGACATGCACTAGCAGCTTGCCTGCAGAGGGTCACAAAATTAAACTAGAAAACTGAAAGCTTGAACCTAAACCCTGAACCTAATCCCTAAACCGAATCCCTAAACCAGAGCCCTAAACCTGAACTTAAACCCCAAACCTAAACCCCAAACTTAAACAGTAAACCCAAAATCCACGCCCTGAAGCTGAACCCTAAACCAAAACCCTGGGCAGGACAAGGGTGGATTCGGGGTGACGGCAACCCTCGGGGGCTGTGGGTACTAGCAGCACTATGATTATGATATGTAAATCTGAGATGTTACACTTCTACCATACCTGTCAGTTCTGACGATTGTTATTTCAATTTTATTATGTTGCTTATCTATTTCAATGTTGCATATGTTTTCCTGTTGCTTCTTCGTTATATTAGTCGCTTGGTTTTTGCAACTTGCTTGTTCCTGGCTTGAATCATGATTGTTGGCCCGGCGCATATTGTTTTTTGTTTTGCGGTTTGGGTTTTGCCTCTTGTTTGTTCCTGGTTAGAATCATTTTTGTTGGTATGGTGCATCTTGTTTTTTTGTTGTTGTTTTTTTTTGTTGGGGGGGTGATTTTGAGTTGGGATGTTTGTTTGATTTTGTTGATTGTGTTTGTGTTGGTATGCTAGATTTGTTTTTGTGGGATGTTGTTTGTTTTAGCTAATTATTCTTGTTGGTGGTTGTTCTGGTTGGGTTGTTGGGTGTGTCGGGTGCTTCATTTTCGTTTTCTGTGATTTGTGTGTATTCGTGGTTATCCAGTTTGCTTATTGGGTTTTGATGCTGGAATTGCCACTGTAGATGTTCCTTCTTTTTTTTTGGGGGGGGGAGTGGCGGGGGGGGGGGTTAAGGTCTGGGGAACATTTTGGACAGCGTTGTTTGTTCAAAAGTCGCGCAAGACTGCACAAGTTTGTGGTTCTGTTTTTCTTTGAGGCCTGATCCTAGCAGTCTTTTCGTCACGAGCGCCTGCACCCTGCATGCTCTGCAGTTTTTCGGGGGACGCTGGTATTGCTGGAGCTACTGGCTGGTGATGCCAGCGTGCTCCTTGTGTTGGTGGTGCTTAGTGTCGGGAGCTGTGCTTGCTCTATGATCTGCTTGCGACGCAGGTCTGTCTCGATTTTTTTGAACTTGCTTATCAATGTAGCTTAAACAAGGGAGGAATCACGAGTCGGCCCAACAGAAAGGGCCAGAAGCGCCGCCAAAAAGCGGGCCCCGCCAGCTGCCAGTCTGCCAGGTGCCCGCAGACTTCTTGCACCCCGGCATGTTCGACTTGGCCCTAGGTGGCCATGACCGAGCGAGAACCCCAGAGATCCTTTTTTTTTTTTCCGGAAGCGATGCGAAACCAGACAGAGGGGGGAGTGAAACTTGTTTCACTTGCCCGCAGCGAATCGACCTTTCGACCTTGTGGTGTCCCCTTTTTGGTTTCCGTGTTTCGTAAAGATCCCAAAAGGTGAACCTGTTGCTGGGCTGTGGGCGAAAAAAGTTGGCAGCTTTCGCCGGGGGGTCCTGGCGCGCATTTGGAAAAGTGGTCTCCGGCGTCTTGGCTTCCCACCCACAAGGAGTTCGTGTCAGGTTAAAGCTTTCATTAACCCGCTCTCGAAGAGGGAATGAACACGCGCAAAGCAGGCATCCCACAGGATATAGCCTAGAAACGCACTGTGCACTTTGAAGCAATTCGAGAAAGAACCAATTCAACCATATGCCTCAGACACTTCCCTTGCCCAGCTCTCAGATTGGCACTGTTGTTTAGCGGACTAGATAGTTTTGGTGCATTTTGCTTGGATGTTAGGACTTTAACTTTTTGCCAACGAATGGGTTTCCCATTGAACCACTCAAAGTGATTCACTTTTGGCGGGGGAGAAAGCAACCGAGATAAAATCCTGGCGGAAGAAGGAAGCATTACTCTAGGGGTACCTTCCCCATTCTTTCCAGGGATCCTTCTTTTCAGGAAACCATCGAAAACCCAGGAAAAACCGCCGGTTGCTGAAAAGAACGATGGTTGAAAAGAATGGAACAGGAATTAACCCCTAGATTTTTGGAGAGGGGTCGTGGCCCCCTGAATTTAGGAACCCTTGTCATCGTTCAAATCAACCCCTAGAAGATTACAACTCTGAAGAACCTCGTCAGGTCGCTGCAGAGGGCTTGGAGGACGCAGGCGAAACGGGCGATGAAACCCATTGAAACTGCTGGCCATGTGAGATGGTTCGGTTACCTGGGCTTATGGTGATACTGTGGCTTGACGAAATCCGTTCGCACCACTTTGAAACCATGGGAAACCATTGCGCGTTGGTATTTGCAGGGGATTCATCAGAAACCAGGGTTGCTTCGGTGGTGCAGAATTTCGTCCATCCACAGTAGTAGGGACTGTACACAAGGCTCAGTTACTATCTTGGTAGAACGTCAAATGGGTCCTGGGCGCGGTGCCTGCATTCTGTGGCCGTGTCTGTTTGGAGTTGGAATCCTCTTTTTGGAGTGGCTTCACCCGGACCGCCAATGGGAGAGTCGCAGGTTTCCTGGAATTGGACGAAAGCAGGTGGCGCAATTCCCCCATTTTGGTTTAGTCTCATCCTTGCATGCCCACAGACAGGAGTTGCGCCGTCTGGTTTCGCGCTGGTCTATGAAGGGTTGCGATCTTCCATCAGAGGCTCCGTAAGCCCGCGCAGGCTTGGGCCTCAGCCAAAGGCGCGGATTCGCCGATCGCTCTCGAGTCGCGATTTCGTTCGGGCCATGGCCTGGGATGAAAATCTCTGCCTAGACATTTGTTTCCGAAGGACGTTCTCGCGCCGCGCGAAGTCCGAAATTGGTGGATTGGCGCACCCTCTGCGGTGTGATTTTGTAACATGAAATCAACCGTCTGCAGACTTTGGGTGTGTGGCACCGTGCGCGATTTGAACAGCGAATCAAGTGAACCTTCTGCATTCGGGTGGGCCGGATCGCTCTCATGCTGGGGCGATGCAAAATTCCGAACATGAAAGTGAACCCTGGAGTTTCGGCGTGGTTTGTTCTTGCCGCACGGTGTGAACGTCCAGCATGGAATTTGAGCCCTCGGACCTTGGGCGCGGGCGCGTTGAGTTGCTCCCTCTGCGGCGGGTTCGACTGTCAGCGTCGAAAGCGAACCCGCGGACTCTGTGGGGTCCGGTCGAAGGACCTCACTGCGCGGTGCAAATGACAAACGTCGAAAGCGCGGGGCCCGCGAAGATTTCCTTGCGAGAGTTCTTGTAGAAGATACTCTCCCACAGCTCTTAGACAGAGAACTTGATGTTGACGATCCTGCGCACAGTTCCTGCTAGGACATCCTGTCAAGAGATCCTGCAAGCAGACCTGGCCAAGAGCTCATGTTATGGGAGATCTGGAGTGGAGACCCTGTGCCAGTCCAAGAGACATTTTGCGCCGGCCCTTCATAGAGTTCCTCGCAAGAGGTGCGCTGTAAGGATGCTCCCTACGATCTGGACATGGACACAGATCTCTTTGAGACTTCAGGTTCAGGTGGGTCGGAACCCTCTGAACCGTTTTGTAAGGCCCGGACCAGTCCCTTCCTCGCAGCAAGTTTCGGTGTCGGAAATTTGCCCGGTGCTGCGTTTTTAGAGGGCCATATATGTCCACAAGGTGGTCACATGGTTGGTGAGCGATTTGGCTGGGGGTCCCAAAAGCAATGAATGTTCAACAAAGACATGTTTAGCGACTTTAATTGGGTATGTGTCAAACTCAGGGGCGGCATTGGTCATTTTGGCGGGTTCTGTTACCTGAGTTTTAAATAGAACCAATAAGTTGCTTAGTTTTTATGTATGTTCCGCAATTTTAGTAGACACACAGTTTTAGTAGTTCAACAACATCTTGCTAGACCTAGTAGACCCATTGTAGTAGAATCAAACCCACCATTTTTCCGTGCCAAAGAGTTGCTTGGAATGAAGCGCAAAGATCGCTGGGATTTCGATAAAAATCAAGCAACTATTGTACAGGGCTCCTTAAAAGATACATTTTGCCCAATTGGAACATTGCTTATTCCACCAAAAGAAAGGGAACCCACCATTTACAAGGCAACGTTCAGGTGTATAATGTAAGGATCCCTGTTATACCACAGCTCAAGCAACGATCAAGCTTCACCAAAGGATTTGCCCAAGCCGTCGGCTTCAGGGACCTCAGCCCCTTCGCGGGGGAGGACGGGTGCCTGGGACGGCCAGAGCTCGCGTGTGCGCTGGCAGAGGTGGAGGCGCGGAAAGGATGTTCTGGATTCGTTTTTCTGTTCTTTTGCTCAAGTCTTCTTGGTTTTGCCCCTGTTGTTGGTTTTTCAATGATATTTGCTGCCCGGTTTGGTTTGTTTCTTCTGATATTTGCTGTTTGTTGTTCGGCCTGGTGTCTCCCAGCAATGCGGTCCCTTAGCTTTTTAGCTGGTTTAGTGCTTGGGTGTCCATATTTAACCCACTGAAAGTGTTAAACTTTGAGCAGGGGATCTGAGGACAGCCCAGTTTTGTTCAAGTCTTCTTGGCTTGCCCAGTTGTTTTGTTTCTTATTTGCTTTTCTTTTTTGGAATTAGTGCTTTCCCTTGTGGCTTCGCAGGGTTTCCAGGTTGCTCGGAGCCAGAAGATGATGGAACCTGGTTGAAATTCGGGCGACGGTTTCTGGTGATTTCCTGTCGCCTGTCAGCACTCTCTAATTGCCCGTGCGCCACGGTCTTCCGGTCGGCGAATCGCTTCATCAACAAAAATAGTGAAAAATGCAGCAGGGCAAGGTTCCGGGTTGAAGGCCCAGATCTTCACTAACACCCCTCAAAAAACATGTCTTCTTTGGGATCCTCACTAAATTGGTCGCGCAGCCAGGAAGGGTCGAGTTCTTTGTCTCACTCTTTCTCATTTTGCTAGTGCCAGGTGTGGAGCAGCTGTTTGAGTCAGACTACTTGGGTATTCAAACATAGGAAGTAACTATGGTAAGGGGAGGAACCCCAGGCACCCCACTTATGTATACTTATATCTTATATCGGTGTGTCATTTTTTAAGGAGACCCCCCCCCCCCCGCCCTCACAAATTGTAGTTGTCCTTTTGGTTTCTCTTAAACGAGCCAAAACAAGGCTACCATCCAAAGAAAATTGGGCCACCCATAGCCATTGGAATCAAGCCCGCTAAGTCGGCCTTGGCTTTGCCGCTTTCGGCGCCCCAGGGCGGCTTTGAAGTCCCGGCGGAGCGATCCCAGACCGGCAATGGATCTGGGCCCTCCGTCTTCGTTGAATGCCAGGCCGGACTGGAGGGGCTGGGCCTAGACATCTAGATGTGTGTGTTTTTATACATGTTTGTGGTACTTACCCTGACAGGAAAGGCAACGAAATACAAGGGCCAAAAGGACTACTAGTGGTTTATACTTCTATGTTCTGAGTGTTTGCGTTAGATTGAACAATCAGAAAGTAATGTTTGCTTATGGTTTCCCTCAACCATGTTGGGCACTCCTTTTTGTGCTTGGTTTAAAGGGACCACAAGACGACATTGCTTTTTCGGGATCCATTGCAAATTGTTTTGCTGTGAGTTCGCCATGGTCCAGGGGTGCTTGGGCAAAGGCCTGCTGATGTTCATACCTTTCCGGGGAAGCCCAAGAACCGGTAATGTTGACCCCATGTTAATCAACCCCAGTTTATCGATAGGTGGTGTTCCCCTGCAGTGCTGATTCGCACAACCAGGGACAACCCCCTACTAAGCTGGGGTTGATTAATATGGGGTGAACATTATGAGGAAGGGCTATTTCCCTTAGACATGGGCCTTGGGCCCCACCCTCCGTCCGAATCCGAACCTCCGAACCAGACTCTCAGGAAGACTCGGAGGAGGAGCTGGTCATACCCAAGGAGCGACCCTGGCAGAGCTGCGCTGGAGCTGGTTCTTGCATCGGTGAGCAAAAGCAAAGCACTGAACGGTAGGTTGCGTTGCATGGGGGGGCTTGTTGTTTGGACATTTTGGATGGCGTTCCCTTCAAAGAGCTCGGAAACAAGTGCACCCTGGCTTGACTCAAGTTTGGTAGAGTATGGGTCAAAAGGAGACTCCTTTACAAGTGGTTTTGTTGGGGGGTGCAGGCACCTGAGGATCAGAAGCGGCCTGGGCCGCTTCTGAACGCCCCCAAGCTTGGACCGAACTCGAATGGATTCGACGTCTCCAGCCAAATCTGTCACGGGGCACAGGCTTTGAAGGAAAAGCGCTTCAAGAGCCCCTGTTTCTTTAGCTGACCTCCAACGATTGCAGGTAAATGTCATGGACGAGCAGGTCAGCTTGTTCGTAGCTGGGTCACCTGAAAAACAAACGGCAGCAGATGGGGAACGGCGTGTAATTTTGTTTAAGAACAATGGAGTTGGTGCGTCCCTTGAAGGAATATGTTTGGGCCTGTAGAAACACTAGCTGATTCAGAGGATTTTCCTGGACATGTTATTTCGGATGTATCCTTTAAGAAGCCGTGTTGTATTTTGGCGATCTGCATTCGTATCAGTGCGAATTGATAGAGGCATTGAGATGCCCACTTTCTGTCAGCGTAGCACGACGTTATGCCCAAAGCAAGCGAACTTTGGAGTAGGGGTTGTCGGATTCATGAGTGCCGTTTCTTGGCTTGAAAAAGCCCGAAAGGTTCCAGTTTGTTTTGAGCAATCCCCATGGAACAAAAAGAGGAAGGGAGAAACCGCCATGTGCCTTAGTGGTCAACACACCCCTTGGGGGAAGTGATGGTCACATTTTTCTGTCTTCCAGAGAAATGGCCCGCTTTTGAAGGTGATCGGATTTGGGGAGCTCGCCATGGGTCGACGTAAGGACTTGTTGTATGTCTTGGCTGCCTGCGACGGAAACCTCGCTGCAGGGATGCCCAGAGACCAACAGTAGCGGTGATGCAGCGTCCAGGATGTCTCCTGAAAGCTTTCCAACGACAACTGAGTCGAGGAATCCCAACTTGAATGATTTCTCGGAAGCCGGTTGGATGGTGTCCTTTTGCAAACCAGGGTAAATGACGCCCATGTGGGCCTTTTTCTGTTTTTTGAGGGAACCCTTTTGGGGACGGTTTAAAGCGGGAAACCAAGAGGAACACCCACCATTTTCCGGGTGTCCCCTTTAGAGAACACGAGCTAACCAGTTAACGAGTTTCTTCGAGGACTTCTCCTCAATCTTGAGATAGTTGACACATTTCCGTGATCTGAACAACTAAACTGGAGAGACCCGTTGGAAGCTAATTGCTTGCTCGGAGGAGAGTTGCTTTGGGAAGGCTTTTAAGGTGGGCATATTCTCCTCGCATGAGTTTCCTTGCAAATGATGCTCACAAAATGGTGGTTCGGTTTCTCGGTTTGAGTCTCAGGTGAACTTGTACCCCTTCGGCGGGCTGACACAAAGTTTGTCCATGGCCAAATCGCTGAGGACTGGGCTAGCAGCTAGCAAAAATGGGATTGGCACACGCAAATCGGTTTGGAGCGAGCTCCTTTTCATTTGCCCTGTGATGTGGTAGTCGAAATACTACGTATTCGATTTAATCGCAAAGTTCCACACCCCAAAAAGGTAATGGTACGTACGTGTGATTGATTGTAATTATGTACAAAGGGAAAGGCAAACATAGCCTATAGCTAGTAATAACGAGTTCTCTATTTCAGGTTGGACTAGTTATATCACAACTAGGCGGGAGTGGAGTTTTAGCTGGCGGCGCAAGTGGATGTGGCTGGTGCTGGTGCTGGTGCTCGTGCTGGTGCTAGTGGGGAGGAGGTTGAGTTATTTCCTTTGCTTCTGTTTGTTTCCTGGAAAACATGTGCTTTTTGTCGGCGTGTTTTGGAAACGGAATTCCTTTCCAGAGGAGTTTGACGAAATACAACTATAATTTAGATTTAACTTAATAGGGACACACTTCACGTAGAATGTCCATCTAAAGCTAAAGGTGCAATAGGATGTCCTTTGAGAATATGGTTTTAATTGAACTTAAACTAGATATTCATTGAATTGAATGAAGAAAGAAAGGTGTTTTCTAATTTGCCTGCCACTTGCAAAAGAGTGAATATCCAATAGACACTCACCGAAAATGCGGTTTCAGTCTGCCCCTTTAATATAAGCAATCTAGTTAAACTATGGTCTTATGAAGTTCTATTTATATTCTAAGTAAATGTCAACTTTACATATATGGACAGCATTTCCAAGTTACATGAGAATTCAATATAGGACATTGAGACGTTTACTCTTTAAGCCGTAACATGTTAGCCTTGCATCTCAGCATGTGCATGTTCCTTGGGCTTCTATTGGCTTCTGGCACTTTTTGGAAGGCAGGCCAATTACAATCCCAACGAGACAGTCTTATTGAATTCCGCTTGGAATCGATGTTGTTCATGTCAATGAATCAATGAACATCGTATTTGGAAAGGAACTCCTATTTGAACTTTAATTAACATCGAAATTATCTTGATTTGTATTCTAAATCATGTTTAAGATTAGTTTGTTTAATTAAATAAGTATAATATTAGTTCCTTTATACATATCTAGATCATGTTTAAGAATACAACTATATATATATATATACATATATATATATATATACGCTATTTCTTGGGAGGTTCGTTCCTTTTCCACAAGATGCAAACACAAAGCTTTGGAAAGCCCAAAGAAACAGATTACAGATCCCAGGTGTCATCGTCTTGGTTTGGTCTTTGTTTTTTCTGGTTTTCTCGAGTTTGTGTTTTTCTGCCCAAACTTTAAAGAACTGCGAAGAAACAAAAGCCAAGGACATTGCAGAACCAAGGGGAGGATCACGGGGAGCGTAGTCTTGTTTTTCTTAGTGTTTCGGCTTCTCGATGGTGTTGGCTTTCTGCCCCAAACTGTAAGCAATACCTGAGAATTCCAAAACAAGCCAAGGAAGCCAAGATTGCAGTTCAAGGGGGGGGCTGGTGATGGGAGCATGGGGTGTGTGTGTGTGTGTGTGATGTTTTTCCGGTTTCGGCCCCTTTTGTTTTCCAAGCGAGGTGTCTTTCCCCTTTGGAGGGCCCAAGGCTGCTCGTGAAAGAAGGTTGACCCCTGATCCCCATTGGCCGACGGTATAGTTTATAAGATCCGCACGGGCACTTTTTTGTGAAAGATTTTGATTTCCGTATTTCTGCAAAATAATATGAGCGATCGAACAAAACATGACTGGTAGAGCTACAGCTTGTCCGTCAATTCAATTGAGATCCCTTTAAAACAAACGATAGAAAGCTGGGGATAGATTCATCGTCGCATGTTCAGTTTGGGTTTTGGAAAGCCATTCCGACCTGTTTCTACAAAGGTGTTTGCAAAGGTGGGTTTGTGTCATATGGGCCCAAAATGGTGGCCTTCCTTTTGAGGTCCCTTTACCCCCCCCCCCCCCCCCACACACACAAAAAAAACAAAACCGAATGAAAGAAAGAAAGACAGAAAGAAAGAAAAGAAAGGCACCCAAAGCACACAATGAGAGAACCTTGCGGGATGTTCAGTCCATTCGGTTTGGGCGAGCCATTGGGGAATCCTTTAGCGCCCTTCGCCAGGGCCGGCGAGCCGTTGTGACGAAACAAAAAGTGATGCGCTCGCTGCGCTTCTTTCTTCCCCGGTGTCTTTGGAACAGCCTGCGCTTTCAGTGGTGATGGAGCTGGGGGGGAGTATGGCAAATTGGCTCAAACATTTTTCATCTAGAAACAGCGGGTCTCGGAACCAGCTACCAAAGCATCCGGGTCCAACTAAAGAGAAGCTCACGAAACCGTCAATGCCTGAAAACCCGTTCTTCAATTTATGTTGGGGGTTTCTTCTGAAGCAGGCTGGAAGTAGTTATGTTTGGTTGTTCTAAACGGCTTGACCCGTTTCAGCAAAACCATCACCTAGCCTGGGCAACGCTTAGATCCCGTGGTTTCAGCCCCGGGTTTTGTTAAAAGGGTTTGGGAGGGCTAGAAATGGGGACATCAGCCCAACAACGTCGGTGCGTATGTCCGCCCTTTCGATGGTTTACTTGGGGTGACAACAGGCTTCGAAGTGTACATGTTCTCACTTGGTGGGAAGGAATCGGAGCATGTTTTTCTGCCCCAGATGTGGTCCGAGTTTAGGTTAAGTCTTTGAACTTCATGATCTTCCAGTCTCCATCCTTCTGGTTGTAAGAACCGTGCCTTTGAGGCCCGTCGAGGTAAACCCTGCCACGAGAATCCATCTGCCTTGCTTGTAAGGGAAGCCCAGCTGAAAATCAAACATCTGTTTTCCAAAGAGCTGGTCATCACGATATACAGAACACCCGTGATTCGCTTGGCTTCAGCTGTCGCGTTTGCAAGGCTTGGCTTGTTGTCTCTTTGTTCTTCCCTTGGACGATTCGCACGCAGCAATAGTTGGGCACACCGCCTATATACTCCAGATGCGCACGTGTGTTTCAGGGTATGCTGTGAACCTCGGACAGGGATCTACCGTGGGAACCTGTCAAATCACGCGAAGAGTGAGTATGTGGAGTTGGGACGACATGTGATATCAAGCGAGCCTGTTAGCAAAGTTGTCATAGCCGATTTTCCTCGCCATCCGCATGAGCAGGCTCAATGGTTTTGGGGCTTTCAAGGCATCAGGATCTCAGGCGCCAAAGATGCGGCTACGAATAGAAAAGCAGAAAGATTGGTCAACCTCAAGGGTTCCAAAATATGTTTCTACCTTTGCAGAGAAAAGGATCAGGAGACCAGATGTGGACCAAGTTGGCCTATCGACGGACGGCTTGTCCCGCGCAGATGCAAATGCCAAGCCATGGCCCCATTTAGAGTGGTGAGGCGGGCGAATTGACTCATGTTTGAAGGAACTCACTAGGTCTTTTAGTAGTGCCCTTAAACCCCTTCTTGGGGAGGGTTCCCCTACTAACGTAGACTACAGAAGAAAGGGTACTAGACCACAGTTGGCCCGAAAGAATCACAGCCCTGTGATCATTCCCACGCATTTGTTTTGCTCGACAGCAAGAGGAGCTACAGCAAGAGGAGCAAGCCGCAGAAACCACTTTGCAAGAACGCTCATGATGACTCTGCGCAATGACTCTCATGACGACCCTGTGCAATGACTCTAATGATGACTCTGTGCAATGACTCTCATGGTGACGCTGTGCAATGACTCTCATGATGACTCTGTGCAATGACGCTTTGTGCAGTTGCTCTGTGCAAGTTGCTGTGTGCAAATGCTCTGCGCATTTTTTCCGCGCAAGTTGCTCTATGCAAGTGCTTCCAGAGCTGCCGGAATGTACTTCGCGTGCAGCCTTTGTATTTAAAAGTTGCGATTTGGCAGCCGGAGCTGCGGGAGTGTACTCCGCGTACTACGTTCGTACTTAAAAGTTACGATTTTCCAGCCGGAGCTGCGGGAGCGTCCTCCGTACTACGGTTTCTGTCTAGAAAAGCTGCCGCGGACCAGGCGGGGATCGACCCGCAATCGCGCGACTCCGAGAGCAGGCACACAAACCACGCGACAACTTCCAAAGACCGCAAATTCGCACGGCGCCACAGCGGGAGCGCTTCGACACGCACGATCCCCGCAGAGGGTTCGTCGGGCACTTTGCAAATTCGCACGGCGCCGCAGCGAGAGCGCTTCGACCACGCCGATCCCCGCAGAGGGTCGTCCTGGAATGTCAAAATCGCAAAAAACCATCAGTTTCCTGGACCTTCCATTGTTACATAAATTTGTGTCACGAAAGAAAAGTCCTCGGGGCATCTATTTTCGCCCAATGATCCAAAAAGTGCTCGTTCCCCAAAAAGCGCTCGTTCCAGGAACACGGGCTTGTTGCAAAATACCAAGTGGTACATGTTTTGGATTTGCGCTCGTTTTGCGGGTATTTGCGCTCGTTTTGCGGGTATTTGCGCCCGTTTTGCGGGTATGTTTCACATGTTTCCACGCAACAGGCTACATGAGATGAGAGAAGCCGCCGCAGTAGCCAAAAATGCTCGAATCCAAAATTGTGCACGTTCCCCCGAAAACGCCTGACTAGCAAATTTCTGCTACGAAACACCCAAGGGACACAAATTTATGTAACGAATGAAGGTCCAGGTTCTTTCTCGACCGCACGAATCTCGGCAGAGGGTCGCGCGCGCAGATCAGAAATCGTAAAAAGCCCCCCAGTTTTCAACCTCGACCACGCCGATCTCCGCAGAGGGTTGATTTTCGTAGAGTGCTGTCGGCCCTACCCCACCGCCCTAATAAGAAGAGAAGAAAGGATTTTGAAACTCCTCTCATGAGAACTCTCATCAGCATTGTTCCCCGCCAGTGGCTCTCACGAGCATTGCTCCTCTCAAGTAACTTTCATGAGCATTGCTCCTCGCCAGCGACTCTCACGAGCGTTGCTCCTCGCAAGTGACACTCATGAGCATTGCTCCTCGCCAGTGCTTCTCACGAGTTTTTTTGCTCCTCGCAAGTGATTCTCTGTGGAATGACTCTGTGCAATGATTTTGCAAAATGGATTTGTGCAAATGACTCTGCGCAAAGACTCTGAAGATGCTAATTCTTTGCAATGTCATGGTGATAACTCCCATGAACCCAACGGAAGAACCCTTCGCCATGCTTTCGGGAAGTCTTATTCTAACCTCTCCACTGGAAGACCTAGTGAAACAGTGCTGGGTAGACATAGAAATCATAGAAACCTTTTAAACAGCGATGTTGGTTTTGTGCTTTCCACTCTCAAGGGATGCAGAAGCCAAGTCCGCACCCTCCTCACAGGTGCTGAGACGCATTAGTTTCCCAATAGGGATACAGTGTAGCACACTTATTCCCCACAAGTGCTGTCACCAAAGCCCCCATTGGCCATTTTATGAGGTGGTTGTAGCAAGATTGTACAACTAACTCTTATAGCTATTTTGGCAAGACCAAATATCTATTTGTTTTAGGGCGTCCGTGAACTTGTGAGTAAGCAATCGAAAGGAAGACATAAGGCGGAGTGGACCCTACGGATCTCGAAACTCTCGAGGCTGACGCCCGCAGTGTGATGAGTCAGGCTGTGCTGTCACCCATGCCAGTAAGTAGATCTACACTTGACTGCTATTGGGGTTGATGGTTAGACTTTAACTTTTTGCCGGAAATCAAGTTTCCACTAAACCCACAAAAAGTTAAACTCTTTGCAGAGGGGTCAACAGCATCCATGTTTTTCCTCTTCTCCCCAGCCCCTCTGACACTCATCGGAGTGTGCGTAAAGCCCAGGGCATCATATATATCTCAATTTCGCATTCCGCCCGTGAATCGTCTCACACGTTATGTCGAACCGCACGCTCCAGCCGGCGTTCCTGCATAGCTGCACTGTCGCTGACTGTAGTCAGTGGACACTGCTCAGTTGTTCGGGGGTGCTGCTACAGAAACTCGGATAGTTCCAGCCCAATCAGAGGGAACGTCCGGGAAGTTGCAAAGGGTTTGGCTTTCGCCACAGGAAGAGCAGAGCCTGAATTGTTCAACCACTCTGTTTGACACCTTTCCCCCAGAGCCGGGCTTTGCCTTATTTTTTGAAAGGTGCAACCCCTTGGGGGTTCGTGTTTTCTTCGGATGTGTGGGGCCTCTGTGGTTGGTTTACAGGTCAAAGCGAAACAAAACCAAACGTCTCGCGCGGCCCAATGAGAGACCCCCGGTCCCAAACAAGCCTTTGCCGCAGGTGAGAGGCCTGAAGAAGATGCATTCTGACGTGCTTCAGGAGCTTGCGCCGGTCGTGTTTTTTCTCCAGCCCTTTGGGTGTGTTTTGTTTGAGGGAACCTTCCATTGGCTGATTTGGCGGCCCAATTTTCAGACAAACTTCGGTTTTGTTCGCCCAGAAATGAAGTCTCTGGTGAGCCATGGGGTGTGTTTCTCCTGGGGGAGCTTCCCCCAACGAGTTTTGACAGCCGCGGGATCGCCTCAAATTGGAACTGTTTTTGGAAATTGGTTTCCTTTCACTATAGGAGCCTCAAACACCGATGAAAATGTCATACCTACAAAAAACACGACGTGTTTTGGCAAAACACGATGTTTTCGGGAAACACCGCATTTTCGATTTCAAGCAGTTTCCCATACATTCCTTCAACTCGTCATCCGTTCTCAAAAGATCTCAAAAGCATCATCTCAACCTCAAAATCTCCCATCGCCCTCCCCTTTTGCACTCGTAACGAAATCAGCTTCGCATTCGCCACTCGTCTTTCGCAACTCCAATCTGAAACCAGCAGGCCGGGGACCCAAACTTCAAAAGTACCACGGCTTTATGACACTTGTCAAGCAGCAATGCCATGATGAGGGCGTGCTGGCTTCGAACAGCGCGCAAGCTCAAGCAAAGACCGTGCTTTTGCTCACGACTTCGTTGTTTTCCAGCAACATTCTCGAATTAGCGCATTCGTGGTTGAACCCGAAAAACCCATAGAATTTCCACGCTTTGCCACGCTTTACTACGGGTTCTCCACGGTTTAGCTACGGGTTAGAAAACACGATGTTTTCCAAAAACATGATGTTTTCGGTTGGGGCTGCGGGCTTTCTACGGCTTTCTACGGGTTTTCTATGGGTTTCTACGGGTTTTCTACGGGTTTCTGCGGGTTTCTGCGGTTAGCCGCCAGGATCCCGCCCCATTTTCTAAAAAAAACTCAAAATTGATAAACACAATCTCAAAAGTGTCACCTGGTCTTGTTTTGCACCAAAAGGAGCTTTCGGATTCCAGCACCCACTTCAAACTGGTTCGGTATGACCTGGCGCCAGTCTTCAGGTGCATGTTGCTGTGAAAGATACTTCAAGACTGAAGCCAGCTGCACACCCTGGCTGTCAGGCTCATCAATGTGGTCCTTAGAATTTGAAGCATACTCAGTATAGAGCGTTGCCCTCAGTTGAAATCTTAATGGGTGATGTCTGTGTGAATCCACTCCCGACCCTTGCCTTTGACCCTTTGCTCCAAATGAGTGTTTGGCCTCAGAAGCCCATTTTTAAGGGGTTTTATCAAAACACAATGTTTTTCCTGAAAACACAATGTTTTCAGAAAATCGAGAAAAACACAATGTTTTAGTCAGGGTACGACATTTTTACAGGTTCTTGAAGCCCTAGGATAACCTAAAAAGGTGTACCGGGTGGTCGATAGCACGCAGGAAACACAAGAATGGGGATCATCCATTTAATGTGTTTGTTCCAGGCTGACTGAGTTCGGTAACACGGAGGATATTCCTTAGTGTGGGAGTGTCTTCTTTTGGGGCACCCCGACAAATGGTTGGTGTCCTTTTGGTGTCCATTACAATTGAGCCAAGAAGGGTAGCCTCAAAAAACCGTACACATGTGGCTAAGCCTTTTTTGCCATTTGGCAAGTTGGAGGCTGTCTTGCTCTCGTTAAGCCCTACTGATCCTTTGCACCGGCATGCGCAAATTTAGGCCCCCCCAACAAGTGTTTGTTCGGACTTGGGTCTTGGAAAATGGGACATAATCAATTGGGTGCTGGGTGTTTGTTTGGGGGAAAAAATCGGGCTTCAAGTCAAGGAAGCGTTTTTTTGCTCAAAGTCCACCCTGAACATGTGGGTATATGGCTGTGGGTCAAAACCAATGTACCATTTTGGTGGTAGGTGGATTCACCACCCATTTTAGAGCCTATTTTAGTGGTTAGATTGGGAGGCTTTTGACCCATGGCCATATCTGGGCTGTCCTCAGATCCCCTGCTCATCTCCTTAAAAGATACATTTTGCCCATTTGAAACATAGCTTTTTCAACACCAAAATCAAGGGACACCAAAATAAAGGGGAACCACCATTTACAAGGCAATGTTCAGGTGTATAATGTAAGGATCCCTGTTTTGACCTCTCCAAGGAGGGAGCAACTACGATCCTGCTGCGTTCCTTGCCTGCCCAGACAAGCATCACGAGCCTCATGGAGCTGATGCTTCCATTTGCGCTTCAGTTATGTTTCTATAATTAATTCATTTTCTGAAACATTTAATTCTCAATATGACTATTTTTTCGGTTTTTGAACACTACTGGACATCTTCTCCCAATTTTCCCAGGATGGGCAAGCCTTTTTTTGGCCAAAAAGGATGGGCGAGAGTTTTGTGGGCGCCTACGACTTCCTCTACCTGCCGCACTGCGCCCGCCAGCCCCGGCGCATCGTGGAGCTGGCCTTGATCAACTTCGTGGACCACTCCTTCGCGGCGGCGGCCTGGGAGCTGTTCCTGGCGCAGGTGGCGCGGACGCCGTCCTGGACGCGCACCAGGATAAGCCAAGCGCAGGTCCAAGGCGCCGGTGGAAGTAGGGGCAGCCTCCATGTCCAATTTTCCGGGGATCCGAATCTTTCTAGAAAACCTCCGGAAGCCCAGGGGAAATAGCTGGTGATTGAAAAGAACGATGGTCGAAAAGAATGGGGAATCAACCCCTGGAGAAGTGGATTTGTTTGGGGTGAAAAGGAGACCGCAAGGGCGGAAGAGTCCTTCTTCCTCCCAAAAAGGACACCAGAAAAGGAAAAGCCCGCCCGCAATGCGAGCAAAAGGACTCGGCCACAAGGATCCGAATAGGCAGCCTGGATCTGGGCTTTGGCTTGCGACATTGCGGCATTTGTCAGCATTTGCAAATGATTCAACTGCCAATGTTCCTGGGAGAATTATAACGACCACACACGACCTCACCCCAGATGGTGGTTTTTGTTGGGAATAGCCCCCCGACCACCTTATTTCAGGTTGGTGAAATATTATAGTTCACCCAGAACTGCCAATGTTCATCGAACGTGTCTCTTCATAGGGGGAAAGTGTTTAAACCCCAGGCTTGCTGATGCTCCTGGCACTCTCCCCCCCAAAAAATGAACTTTAAAGTCGAAGGAGGAATGAACGAGGGCCGTGTACGTAGATTGCAAGTGGTTTCAGGCAGACCAAGGTGCGGACGACTTGTAAGTTGTTTCTAGGACTTTGCAAAGACCCCAAAAGTGGGGGGGGGGGAGAAAAACCTCCAAAACCATTATATATATATATATGTTGATTTGCAGCATGTGCATGAGCACCATTGCAGTCAGTGCCTGATTTCCATTGCGTACCGCAGGGACTCTTTTCACATGTCAAGCCAGAAAAGGTGCCCGCGCGATGTGACACTGGGGTGTCACCTTTTTGGTTGGGTTCCGCAACCAGTTTAAATACTGGTAGCGGAGCCTCTACGGAGGCTCCAGTGCTAGGAAGCATTGGTTTCGTAGCTGTGCATGAGCGCCATGGCTGGTGCATCCGCGACGGATGTCGCACCCAAGGTTTTCTCAGGTGAGACCGAAGATGCTCGAGAGTATAAACGCTGGAAGACCTGGGTATCCAACAAGTTGCTGACCCTGGATACCAAAGTGCCGGAAGCAGCAAGGGGCGCGTATGTTTACACCCTCCTGTCTGGGAAAGCTCTCGAGAGCATCGAACATCTGGAACCTGCGGAGTATCAGAAGAAGGGTGGCGAGCAGGTGATCTTTCAGATTTTAGATGCTCGCTTCCCGCAGAAGGATGTCTCCGATGAGATGTCAGAGACCCTCACCGCCGTGTTTGGCCTCAGGGCTCAGGAAGGAGAATCTCTCAAGGTCTGGATTGCACGTGCTGGCGAACTTTTCGACAGTTGCCACCGGAAGTGCAAGGTGACTTTTCCTGACAAAGCACGCGGTTGGCTGATTCTCAACCGATCTGGTCTCAATGAAGAACAAAAGGCAGTTGTTCTGGCCCGCAGCAATGGCTCTCTGAAACGCGAGGATATCGGAAAAGCCATGCGGTCCTGCTACCCTGACTACGCCGTTGCCAAGCGGCGCAGTGTCGGTGCCGGCCTTGTTGAGTCGGGTGATCTGCCTGATGATGCACTAGCTGATGATTCAGATCCCCTTGTCGAGGAGATGGAGGCCTTCTTGGCCGAATTTGAGCCAGCATCCAGGGGAGAGCCCGATGAGATTTCGATGAGAATGAGGTTGCGGAAGCTCTGGCCGTGTCGTGGAAAGACAAGAGGAAGGAGTTGAACAAGCTACAACGCTCGCGGCGTTTTGGTGCAGCCCAAGATCTCAAACGGAGCTATCGGGTTGAGATCGAGGAGCTCAAGCGCAAGACGCGATGCCACAAGTGTCAGCAAGTCGGCCACTGGTCACGGGAGTGCAAATCTGGCAAAGGTCGTGGACGTGGCGGCGGTGCCGCGTCTAGCAGCAAAGGCAGTGAGTCCGGAGCCGCTTTTGTCCAATCTTTCGAGGAGACCTTTGTCGCCGCAGTCGAGTGGTCGAGCTCCGGAGTGCTTGATCCTGATGAGACGCTTCTGGAGCTAGTGCGTCGCCGTCACCAGGTGAAGTCCGCCGTCAGTCCTGCTCAGGTACCGCTTTCAACCATGCCCCCTTGCCCATCATCGGAGGTGCTGTTGGTCAGCTCACCTGGGTACGGGGTTATTGATTCGGGATGCGGTCGTACGATCATCGGGCAAGAGACACTCCGAGACTTCAAGAAGTTGTGGCATGATCATGGGATTCCTGAACCTGCCTATGTTGCAGAGGTGAACCACTTCAAGTTCGGAAATGGGCAACGGGAATCCACTGACACTTCGGTGAAGCTACCGGTCATTATTGCTGGGCGTACCGGTATCATCAAGGCGGCCATCGTCAAGGGAGCAGCTCCCCTGTTGATTTCCAGGAGTGCGCTGCAGGCCTTGCAAGCGGTTGTGAATTTCGGCACAAACGAGATGTCTCTGTTCGAGGATCAGCTAGTGGTCCCTATGACGACCAACGCTGCAGGTCAGTATGTCATCAATGTGCTGGACCGCCAACTGGAGAAGCCGTCTGTTCCCTTTGCCGAGGTCATGATGTCAGTCAAAGATGATCATGAGGTAGAGCCCACTGTTGAGGTTGTGCCACCAGCAGAAGCCATCGCTGTGCCTTCTGATGCTCAGACCTCACCGGAGGTGCCAGAAATTCCAGGAGAGCCTTGTGAACTGCAAGTGTGGCGCCGTTATGACTCATTTATGTCCCAGGTTCCCAATACCGGTAAACAAGGTCCCCTGTGGCAAACCGTTAGGCGTCGCCGAGTGCTGGACCAAGATACAGGTGCAGTGTTGTTTGATGATATCATATCCCCTAGAATCGGCAAACAGCAATATCAACGGACCATTCCTGCCCATGTAATGCATATTGCCACGGAGTTTCATTTCGTCCCGCAGGAGATCTCTCGCCCCATCGAAGCCATGCCTGTGCATTTTGTGAGACAACTTGCTTCGCAGATCCGTAAGCCCGAGGTGAAGTCATCCAAATGTGATGGAAAGCCGTTCCTTGTGGCCGAAGTGTTTTGTCCTCCTAGGTTCTCACCACTTGTTGAAGGAGTCGGGGGCAGTTGCAAGTCCTATGATATCAAAACAGGGTATGATTTCACTCAGGCAGCTACCCGGGATGCAGTTGCGAAGGAACTGCGTGCATGCCCGCCTGACCTGTTGATTGTGTGTCCACCGTGCACAGACGAAGGTGGTTGGTTTAATCTCAACTCAATATACCTGAGCCCGCAGGAGTATGCACGCAGGGTACAGCAGAGTCGCATGTTCATCAGGTTTTGCTGCCGGTTGTATCAGCAACAAGTTGACACCGGTCGCAGAGCTCTGTTCGAGCATCCCAAGTCGTCTCGTTTGTGGACCTACCCAGAGGTACGTGCTTTGATGGAGAAGCATCATGTGATCACTTGTGACATGTGCCGTTTTGGACTTCGTGTTCCCCGTTGTAAAAAGCTCATTCGCAAGTCCACTCAGTTGATGGTTACCCATGAAGAGATGAAGACTCTAGCAAAGCGATGCCCAGGCTCACAGCATGTCAAACATCAGTGCCATCAAGTTGTGGCGGGTTCTGACCCAGTGGTAGGCTCCATCAGCACTTTTGCCGGGAAATACCCCAATTTGTGGAGGCAGTTATGGACACTTTGCCCAGCTATGTCGCGCTCAAGAATCAGTGCCTTGCAGTGTGCCATGACTGGACGTGTCGTCAGGAGCATGAAGTGCTGGCAGCCAAACCTGAGTTGTCAGATAGTAAGACTGATGAAGAACTCATGAAGGTAATTGACAAGGTGCATAGGAACCTAGGACACCCCCCGGGTAGTGACTTGATCCGAATTCTCAAGCATGCTCATGCTGCTGACCGTGCCATTCAGCTAGCGCGCAAGCACGAGTGCGAGTTTTGCAAGTCACAGATCAGACCTCACGTGCCCTTGCCAGCCAAATCTTCAAGACCGCAAGAGTTTAATCAAGCTGTGGGTATCGATGTCAAGAATCTTCAGGGATGGTTGCCCAATCAGAAGATCAAGGCTGTCAACATTGTGGACCAAGCAAGCTGTTATCAACTGATGATTCCTTTCCAGTGTCGGGAAACGTCAGCTGTGATTCGCCAGGCATTTGCTGATCATTGGGTTCGCATTTTCGGCCCTCCCAAAGAGGTCATCCTTGATCAAGCTCAGACCAATATGGGCGAGGAGTTTCAGCAGTATTTGGAATCCCTGGGTTGCCATGTTCATCCCATTGCTGCTGAAGCGCACTGGCAACTGGGTCGTACCGAAAGTCATGGCGGTTGGTTCTCACGAGTGCTCGATCGGACTCTGGCTGAGGCTCTGCCCAAAACCAAGGAAGCTTGGGAGGAATGTGTCACACATGCCCATGTTAAAAACTCAATGATTCAGTCGTACGGGTACACTCCTCACCAATACGTGTTTGGAAAGAACCCTCAGGTCCCCACTGATCTCATGAATGAGCCTCTTCACGTGGTACCTGCAACCCTGGGGCTGTCTGATGAAGCAATTGAAAAATCCCAACGAGTGCGAGCTGCAGCCAGACATGCAGTCATCACCACCCAGGATGACCAAGCCCTGCGACGTGCATTTTCCGCACGTCCAAGACTCATCCAGCAGTTCCATCCAGGTGACCTTGTGGCCTATTGGCGTAATCAGAAGGTTCAACAAGGTAAGCTGGTTCAGGGTGGCCGTTGGTATGGTACCGCAGTCGTCATTGGTAATGTTGGAAAAATTACGTGGTGGCCCACAGGAGGCAAATTTTCCGTGTTGCGCCCGAACAACTTCGTTCAGCCACTTCCGAGGAAAAAGCCCTGGTCACAACCCCACAGGCCGAGTTGCTTGGTGTCCGAGATCTGTTGGAGGGTGGTACGTTCCGCAGTCACCTATACATAGACTTGGTGCCGAGTCATTATCCACCTGTGGCCTCGGACTCAGACCGGCATAGTGAGGATGATCCTGCGCCTGCCCCGGTAGTCCCGGAAGCCGGCCCTTGTCCACTGCCGCCGGTGGCCAGTCCGCCAGACAGCCAGGGGGACATTGAGGCAGTTCCCCCGGAGTCGGAGGATGTTGTTCCTCAGTCTGAAGGGCCTGTGTTACACAGCAATGTAGCCGTGCCCAATCAGGATGCGGCCCCAAGCTATGGACCTATTCGTCGGAGGATTGTAACTAAGACCGGACCTGATGCCTTGCATCGTCCTCCCGCAATGCGAGAACAGGACTTTGTCGACATGATGCGTGAAGTTGTTCCCCAATTGCTTCAGGAAGTCACTGCTGATAGCACCATGAGCAGCCCTAACAAGAGAGCTCCGGAGTTCCGAGCTGCCTCAGAGGAACCGCCTAGCTCCCGTGCGCGGACGGAGGAAGCCCTGTCTGTGGAGTGTCTATCGGATCTCGAGCAAGGCTGTCTTGATCCTGAGACACCCATTGAGGTCCTGGTAGCCTACTATCTTCAGAAGAAGACCAGTAAAGAGCTGCCACCTTCCGGAAATGCGCCAGAGTTGCAATCTCTTGTGGACGAATCCAAACGTGTTGAGTGGCAGACCCTTGCCGATAAGAAAGCAATTCGTGTTCACCATGGTCACAGAGCAAAGCAGCTTCAACTGAAATACCCTGACCGGTTCATGGGAAGTAGGTTTGTGATCACCAGGAAGGCCATGGAAGAAAATACGGCCATTCAGGAAGATGATCCGAACACCTTCCGTGTCAAGAGTCGCTGGTGTCTGCAAGGGCACTTGGACCCGGACCTAGACAAGAAAGTCGAAGCTGGCATGCTCCAGTCGCCCACACTCAGCCAAATGGGCCGCATGCTGGTCATGCAGTTGATTGCGTCGCATGGATGGGAACTCCAGTTGGGAGACATCAAGGGTGCATTCTTGGAAGCTGGTCCATTACCGGCCAAGTTCACACCCCTGTTTGCCAAGCAGCCCGCGGGCGGTATCCCTGGAATCCCCCGCGATGCGGTGATTGAAGTCTTAGGAAATGTCTACGGGCAAAATGATGCCCCGCTCGCTTGGCATCGCACCTTTGACTCCGAGGCATGCAAGATTGGTTGGGAGCGTTCCAAATTCGACAGTTGTTTGTATTTCCTTCGTGATGACCAAGGTCTTTGTGGTGTCATGGGAGTACATGTTGATGATACTGCTCTAGGGGGTCGGGGAGACAAGTTTGAAGCAGCTGTGAAGGCCTTGCGAGCCCGGTTCCCGTATCGCAAGTGGCGTCTAGGGGAGGGCGAGTTCTGTGGCTCATACTATGTTCAAAATTCCAATAAGAGCATCTCCATGAGCCAGACCTTGTTTGCGCAGAAGTTGAGGCCAGCCACCATCTCTAAGGGAGCATCCTCCGAAGATCGCCTTTCGGATAGCCAAGTGCGTGTCCTGCGTGCAATCAACGGCTCTCTCAATTGGTTGTCATCACAGTCGAGGCCTGATTTAGCAGTGCAGACCAGTATATCACAGCAGTCCTTTCCAAACCCTCAAATCAAGCACTTGAGAGATGCCAACAACGCAGTTCGTCGTGCGAAATTGCATCAGGATCTCAAGATTTGTTTCCAGCGGATCTCTCCTGAGAAGTTATGTGTTTGTTGCCATTCCGATGCTGCCTTCGCAAATGTAGGCTCACATACGCAAGCAGGATACATTCTTGCCTTCACTCATGCCGACATGCACCATGGCAAAGTTGTTCCTTGGACCCCAGTCGTTTGGAAAAGCTATAAGCTTCCACGGGCAGTTAGTTCCACACTTGGAGGTGAAAGCCAAGCCTTGGCAACTGCATCCGGCACGGTTGAGTGGCTGAATTTGCTTCTTGCTGAAGCTTTGGATGGTAGTTTTCTGCCGCGTGATGGCTGCACTCTATTGGCTCGTCGTCCCGCCATTTTGGCGACCGATTGCAAGTCCTTGTTCGACCATTTGGTCTCTCCATCATCCCCCACAGCAGTTGACGATCGCAGGACAAGCATAGATATTGTAATCATTCGCGAATCCCTCAAGCTAATGCAAGCGGAAATTCGTTGGTTGCCCACCAATAGAATGATTGCGGATGGACTCACTAAAGATAAGTTGGACCCTGTGGATTTGCTTAGAGCTTGTGTGCGTGCCGGCACATACCAAATTTCTCCCGAGGATCATGTGCTTGCACAGCAAGCCGCCGAGCGCGCCCGCCGCGCCCAAAATCGCAAACAGAGCGCCCAGAATAGTGCTGAATCAGAGGGCTCTGATTCAAGTCATCGAGATAAAGGGGATAGAGGGGATAGTGAATGAGTAATAGACGGGGGTATTCTTGCGTAGCCATTGCCGAGCAATGCGTCAGGTTAGTCTATTGTGTCTTCAACCTCTCGCCGTGCATGTTTTTTATTTATTTATTTGTTTGTTTGTCATCAGTGCTTTCTCAAGATTTGCGAAGCAACTCTTCATTTGGTTCTTGAAGTGTCACAGGTGCATTACAACGCCGAAGCCGTTTTTGCATAGTGGAACAGCATTCGACTTTTCAGTCCTTGCCAATTGCATGATAGACATGTCTCTGACTCCAGCTGAGTCCCAGGAGCTGCATCGCCTGTTGGCCAAGGCCAAAGCTGCGAACGCTCCCGATGAGTTCGCAGAATTTTCTCAGCACGATCCCAACAACGGCGTTTTGCAGCATCCGCTCACTGGTGAGACATTGAATGTCTGGGAGTGCGGGGCCATGACCGATGGCTCCAAGCGCCGTGAGGACTTTGCTGGCGATGAGACGCCATCCGGCATCAAGCGTCAGGCCAAGCCCAAGGCTAAGAACATGAGCGGCCTTGGAGGAGACCGCAATCGTGGTCAGCCGTCCTACGCCATGCTCTTTGATGAAGAAACTCAGGTTCCATTTCCTCAGGCAAGTCGTCCCGGAGATGTCGCTGGTTCCGTGTTGCCGCCCTTTCCTGAAGGTATTCCGGATCTGGAAACCTGGGGTAAGACGGTGATCTGTTTTGGTCAGTATAAGAACCAGAACATGACATACATGGACCTTGTGATGGCCACGGACAACAAGGTCCTTGGCTATGTGAAGTGGTGTAAGAGCCATTCCAAATCAGCTCAGGGCCACCTCAAGGATCTGTGCAACTTCATGATGCACCATTCCGCGGATGAGGGCATCTCCTTCGGTGTTTTCATTCCCGGAACCACTCAGACACGTGTGCTTCGCGAGTGAGATCAGGATCAATTGTATGGTGTCTCTTCAAGGAGACGTGCTGCACCAGAGCTGTGGATAGCTCACCTGTGTATACATCAGCCTGGCCTCAGCTTTGAACTTTGAAGATGTAGAAAATATAACCAGTGTTGATTTGCAGCATGTGCATGAGCACCATTGCAGTCAGTGCCTGATTTCCATTGCGTACCGCAGGGACTCTTTTCACATGTCAAGCCAGAAAAGGTGCCCGCGCGATGTGACACTGGGGTGTCACCTTTTTGGTTGGGTTCCGCAACCAGTTTAAATATATATATTAAGCTACCCCCTCTCATGGACCTGCGTTTGGGTCAATTTCACGGCAGGCACTTCAGGCCTTTAAGATGTGTTTGGTTTCAAATTCGGAGAAGCACCACAGTCGAGTATCTCTCAAAACCAGGTCTGCCATCGTGAATGGCTCCTTGAGGGCTTGAACTCATATGCGCAAAAAGAAGTTGAGACTCCGGCATGGTGTCAACACCACGCTTAAACAAAAACAAGAAGTGCTTCAAAAACAACAAAGAAAAGAAAGAAGAGAAGAAGAGAAGGCCTCACGCATCTCACGCGAATCTGACACAACTCTCGATGGATATGGATTTCCACGCATCGAAATCGCATGGCTCAATGGTATTTTGCTGGATTTCGATGGCAGGCCTCGGCCCGAACGTGGCCTACTTCTTGCTGCGCTTCGGGGCGGAGGCGGTGGACGCCCCGGACGCCCCGGTGGTCTCTTTGGTGCATTTTGCTAAACTATGTTAGGACTGAATAAGTTTTTGCCAACTAAAAGTTCAAAGTCCTAGCATCTATTAAACCATTAAACCACTAAACCACTACAAGTTAGTCATTTTAGCCGGGCTTCGCAGAGCCGAGGTCTTCCACCGGGGCCAGGCGGCGAGTCTGCGGCGCCTGGCGCAGAGCGTGGGCGAGGAGGCCTTGGAGCGCGCGGCCTTGGTGCTGCGGACGCAGATCAAAGACATCCGGCGGCCGGAGTATGTGCGCCTCGGAAGCACCAAGAATTTGTATCAACCCAAGTGGCGGCTCAAAAACATGAACCCCAAATTTGGCACAACCTGGCAAATGGAACCGATTTGTACCAACCAAGTGGCTGTACCAAAATTTGGCACCGCAAATGGAACCAATTATCAACCAAAGTGCGGCTCGGATGTGCGCCCCGGGTGCTGAGACTCTCGTTTTCTGCATGTCAGAAGGGTTCTCAGTGAAAGTCAGAGAGGGTTCACGGGGTGACTTTGATAGAGATGGCTGTGGTTGTCAAAACCGTTTTGGGATCCCATTTTGGTGGGTAGGTAAATTCGCCGCCCATTTTAGAACCTATTTTGGGGGGGATTGGGATGTTCACTGGGGGAAACTGGGTCACCCAGCTAGGTGCCCTTCTTTACGTTTCTTTTTTGGGTTGGGAGGATTCCCCTACTAAAATAGACTACAGAGAAAAAATCGGGTACCCTTATTCTAACCTTTCTACTGGAGGACCTAGCAAACATGAAGAACTTGTACCAACCAAGTGCTGGTAAAGATGGTGAGCCTCGGCTGCTTCTTCCATTTGCTGTTGAAATGAATATTATGTTGTTGTTTTTCTTTGTTTGGTGGGTAAAGAAGATGGAAAAGTAAGATGGTAAAGATGGAGAGGGGGAAGGGGGAAGCATAAGAAGACCTCAACCGGCAGTTTCCATTGCGTTTCAACCGAATATGTTTCATTCCCTGGATTTGAAGGGAATCGACTTCACTACTGGAAATATGTTCTCCTTTTTTCCAGGGGGCGAAAAAGCAAATGGAAGGCGAGGGAAAAGAAGACCTCAACCAAGTTTTGGGATAGGTAAAGATGGTGAGGGGAATCGAGGCAAGTTTGGATGAAGTAAAGATTGTCCGACTGTGAAGCAAGTGCTGACAATACCGGATTTCGCCGAAACCCTGTCTGGCGGGTATGGAGTTCCAACTGTTTTTCCTGGAAATTAACTGATATGGATCGGGGTAAAATTGGTGTGACAGCGTGAAGCAATTTCTGGGATGGGTTTTAATATTTTCCAACAAAGGGTGTGTGCCTTGTGCTGATATTTTTGTGTGCTGCTCTTCCCAAGGGAAGCCGTTTAGGGAAACAAACCACCCAGTCTGCTACCGAGCCGGTGGAGGCCCCAGGAAAGACCCATGGCCAAAGTGTTTTGATCGATCCCACAAGATCCAAGGGATGTGTGGTCTCCATGGAAAGCCAAGGAAAAGGGGCTATCCCAGGATAAGCCAGGATAAGCCCTTAATACTTCTTAAGGGGTTAACAAGGGATCTCCCCATGGCGCCCCTTAGAAGTGCATGAAAGTGATTCCACGAGAGCAATTGCACTCCTCTCGCCCTCTTTCAGCACTCTCACTGGCATCCAACACCTGGCCCCCGCCCAGAAAAAAAGAAGAAGGAAAAAAACGCCCCGTAAAGCAGGAACAAGGGCAGACAGCGAGAGAGAGAGAGAGAGAGAGAGCGGCTGTGGCGATGAAACACATGTCTTGGTGTGTCGGAAACCCAGACAACCCCTTTCGCAGAGCGCAAGCCAGAGTACCCGTTCCGGGAACTGGGAAGGACCAAACTTGGGCTTTCGTTCGAGGACATGAGTAAGTTTTCTTGGAATCCAATGTTTGTTTTTTTTGTTTAAGAAAGAATCAGTTACAAGCTTTGGAGGTTGCCAAAATATTTCTTGGAATATACCCCGGATGGCTTGCCAGACCCCCAACTTGCTTTTGGGACCATCAAAACGTTGGCTGGGCACCCCAACTGGATCGGATCTGAGGATATTCACGGACCATTGGACGTGTCAAGATACAGAGGAGCTCCTTCGGAGAGTCCGCGCCCATGAGAATGTCCACGGCTATGTGATGTTCAGAGTCTGATGGTTTTTTTCAGCTCGGCGCAGATCGGACCAAAATTTTCCCATTCGGCTACGTCCAGCGACGAAAGCGACCTGGTTTTATTGACCCGCAGGCCAGCAAGGTCCCGGCAGAATCTTGGCCTCTGGGCCTCGTTTGGATTGGTTCGCAATTACCAATCCAGACAACCACTTACCTCATGGAATGTGTGGCAGCTCAGCAGCCTAAGCGGTTTTCATCGGCATTGGCTTCTTGTTAGTGCTTGTCTCTTGAAGGCAGGCCCGCTAGGTCCTTGCCAATTGGAAACCATGTTGATCTTTGCCTAATTACTCAAAGGAACAAAGGTGATGTTGCTTTCTTTAGGCGGGAAAACCAAACTTGAACTGGTTGGGCTTGAAAAAGTTATGGCAGGTGTGTTTCCCCTTTCCCTTTAGACCAACCCCAAAAAGATACCCTCAGACAACGACCCACCCATCTGCCTGGCGTCTAAAGGTTGGTTTCTGCCTGGGGTGAAGCCATGTATCCCCATCCAGCCGCTCCTCATTCTCTCCTCAAGACTGGTTGCTGGCAACAAGCCCTTTGTTCAAAAAGAGGCATGAAACAAAAAAGAGTCAACGTCATACACATCCGGCGCGCTGTCACATGTATTGCAACTTTGTGTCAGAGTGTACGTTGCACTTATGCGTCCTGCTACCTGTCCCTTGTGTGTCCTGCCTTTTCGCTCAGTATTTGATCGTCTTTGTGCGGGTACCCCTTGGGCTTGCTTGAGAGGAAAGCCAAAAGAAAACCAAAGGTGATTTAGGGCATTCCCGTATTTGGAGACTAAACACGGAGTATTTGTCCGTCCGATTCGCACATCCTAAGTAACCAACAGGCTATAGATTATACCGGTTGGAACAAGAGACACATCCTCAAAATGCCTGGAAAACATGAATCATAACACCGCCTAGTTGATTAACAATGGGGTCAATGGGGTCTTCTCTTTGTGACGAGGAGGTTATTAATTTGTACCAAAGGGTCCAACCACAAATGAAGCATGACCCACTGAACTGACCACCCCCAAGCCCCTTTGCTCTCAGATATGTTTTCTCGATGGCATATCTCGGACCTGGTCTTAGGACTCGAGGATTCAAAAGGGAAACTGGGCTTTCCTTTAGGCTTCCCTTGCCAGCCAGGGTAAAGACCAACACTCTGACAAGAGGGTAAAGACCAAAACTCTCTAGGTTTCCCAAAAGGGTATCCAGCCAAGAGGGTAAAGACCAAAACTTGACTGCTATTGGGTTGGATGTTTAGACTTCAACTTTTCGGGAAATCAAGGGTTTTTCACTAAACCCCCAAAAGGTTATTTTTTTTTGCAGAGGGGTCAACAGCAAGAAAGAAAACTCGGCAGGGATACCTCAACCTTCCAATCGGCAAGTTTCACCTCGCACTGCTAGAGTGGTCCGGCCAAGGCGTAAGTCCTTTCCAACAGAGCGCAGGTGGCACGTGGGCGACCAGCTGTGCATTTTGCCAAGGCATGTTAGGACTGAATCACTTTTCGCCTTCCTTAATGGGCTTTCCGAAGCAAACCCCTAAGAGTTATTCACTTGTAGCAGAGCAGAGTTCGCAACCGAGCCAGGGCGATGGACATCATAGGTTAGTTGTTTTCTTGCTGCCTGATGTGCTCCTGTTTCTGTTGGGCTGGTGCTCACTGCACAGCGGGGTTCAAGTGAGCTCTGGAAGCAGATGGGTTTCTGGAAAGCCAAGCTTTCAGCGAGCAGATGGGATGCATCATTCTGATGTATTGACCAAGTTCACCGGCACATGCTGCAATTTCTCACCCAATTGCAATATGGCCATGGGTCAAAACGCCGTACCCCCAGTGAACATCCCAATCCCCACTAAAACAGACTAGAATGGGTGGTGCACCTACCCCAAAATGGTGCCAAAACGGTTTTGACCCACAGCCATAGGCTGCTTCAAGCGAAGCGGCTGTTCCCAACTTCAGCGCCCTGAGGTTGGCACTGTCAAGCATCCGCTTCAAGCATCCGCAACTTCAAGCGAAGCATGCGTGGGCACCATCACCCCGCGACTTCAAGCGAAGGTTGCGCGGGTATCACCACCCGCGCGAGGCTTGCGGAGACTATAAAGTCGAGGGCCGCTGGTTTGTCTCAAGTCTCAAAGAAGTCGCAGCGATATAACTCTACCCCCCCTGCCAAAAAGAAAGAACGTACAAGTAGATACAACACACAAAACACGCTTTTAAAAGGGAATGTGGAACACTACACCGGAAAGCAACACTTGTGAGTTGTTTTTTCTCGGTGAGCTTGCGAGGCAGAATCAAGCCCACTTTTCGAACTTGGGTCCAGACAATTCCATTGGGTCAGCGTTTGGATGCCATCAGCATCGTTGCCCTCTAAAATGATGGTAAAGACAGTGAATCGTATGTGAAGAAGGTTTACCGAGGTTGCCGGTTGCACTCCCGCAGAAAAGCATGAGACCCAGGACGCCATCGCTTTTAAGAGCAATCTCCTGTTGGGACCCTCGTTTTGGGTTCCCTGATAGTCCGAGGAAGCCGAATGTCAGGCAACGTGGGGACGAGCTTGCAGTTTTTGCCATACCCAGACGGTCTGAACGGCGAATCCAGGAAACCCAGACGTTCAGTGCCTCTACCAACCAAACTAAGGTGGTTTCCCGTTTTCCATTGACATCCACTCCGCAATAACTTCTGATTTTTATCAGTTTGTAGGATCAGAATCCTACAGCCCACCATCTGCTTAGTGGGAAACATAGTCACCCAAATTCCTGCCTTTTTTTCAGGGCACATGTCGAAGAGCTGGTTTTTCCACGGCAAGTACGTCTCTTTGAGGATACCTGCTTTTGATTGGGGGTTGCCGGCCTCTGTTTGGGTAGCTTTCGAAAACAGAAGGAAGAAGCGATCACTTGCTGCAAAGGGAAATCAGGGAAAACTGGTGTGTTCTGGGATGAAAGGAACAGGAAACTATCAAACTGCTTGGATGCTGCAGTTACGTGAGTACATTTGAGGCACAATCAAAACCTGGGTAAACAAAGGTTAGTAAGGGGCAGTCCCAAATAGTTGCGGCCGCCTTTCTATTTCTTTACATGGTTTTGGGTTCACCATTTGTGTACCGATCGGTTTTGATTGTGACTTTTTTTCCCAAGATCCCATTGAACTCGTAGAACCCCGTCAGGGGTTGACTGGCCATGTCGCGCCAGGTGGGCTCTCTAGGAGCTGCGAGAGGCGAGAGAAGTGCGGGAGTTGGTTCTCAAAGCTCGGTTTGTCCGGGCTCCTTAAAAGAAGTTCATTTTGCAACCATTTGAAACATGTTGGACTTTTTCAACACCAAGAGAAAGAAATGGACGCCGCCCTAAGGCAATGTTGCAATGTGCAGGTGTTTTTCATGCATCCGGGTCCCTTGTGCTGGCGGTGTTGGAAGGGGTTCGGAGGGGCTCCAGAAGCGGAAGGGTTGAAGGGTTGCTTGTGGGGATGGGTGTTTCGTGTTCCCCCGGGCTGGTTTCTGAAGGGGACTGATCTCCGTTTTCTCCGGAAATAGCTACCAGCATCTTCAGAATTGAGGCCGGACTGAGGTGGAACTGGGCCTGAAGCAAATGGGAATAGGAAGTTTGATTGGGACGCCCCCAAAAGTGGTGGACGTTAACTCCCAAGATGATGTCCACTACGGGCCCCCAATTCAAAATCAGATCCATGTTGCTTTGTTGTTCTTTTCGACGTCAAGGCTATGTACTTTCCGCAGTTCTCGGTTTCCATGTCACCACGTTTTTCTGCACTGGCAAAACGAGACCTCTGATGAAGGTGTTTTTCTAGGGGTTCCCCTTTCAATTATTAAGGGAATTCGCATAATTTGTGCAGACGGCCTCCTGGAAATTGAAAGCTCTCCCACCCCGAGGAGTTTTACCCATGCGCAGGGTGAGGGGGACTCGCCGTGCCGCAGTTTCGACGCAAAAAGAGAGAAGTCTCGCATCAAAGGATGCGCCTTGCACAAAATGGGAATGCGTTTTTTTGAGGGTACCTTTTCGCGTGGTTTCAAAGGGAAACCAAAAGGAAAGCCGCCGTTTGAGGGTTCCTCTTATTCCGAGCACCATGGGAACTAAAGATGCCTTTCTGATGTGGGTTTCCGACCCGATGCGTAGCTTTGGTTTTTCTTCTTGGTGCCTGAAACACTAGTGCGGTTGCAGTTCAAGGGGACCTGGTGGTTTCCTTCAGATGTTAGCACCTCCATTTGCCGAATATTTTTTTCTTTTGTGTTCCTTTGCTTTGCAAGGGAAGCTATCACTGCTGGACATGTGAATCCTCACATTTTTCCGCGCAGAAGACTTATGGAAATGGAGGTGTATCTCGGAGGGTGCCAGTTCCAGTTCGAACTGTTTCCCAGATGTTCAGCCCACTCAAAATTGCAAGCCCCTCTGCTTGCGTGGACACATTTTGTAGTTTCCCTGAGCTTCCAAATGGACAGCCTCCCAGCCATCCTTTCAGGCTTTTGGCTTTTGGTTTAGTGGTTGGGTTTCCATTTCACCCACTAAGTTTGAACCATTTGAGCAGATCTGAGGACAGCCCATGGTCATGGGTCAAAGTCCCGGTTGCCGCCCAGTGAACATCCCAATCCAACCACTAAAATCGGTTCTAAAATGGGTGGTGAATTCACCTACCCAAAAATGGTACCATTGGTTTTGAAACTTCTTTTGGCCAGTCAACTCGGCAAAGGAAAGCCGTTTGTTTTTCGATGCCCTCTGTAAAAAGGACTCAGAACCTCGATCTGGATTTGGAATCCCACGGTCTCGAGTCGCCTACCAAAAAAATGTAAATAACAATAACAACATACATATATATATATATATATGTATATATGTACACATACATATATTTGCGAAGTCTTCTTCGAAAGGCCACTCCCAAACGATCTCCAGAAATTAGTCCCAGCAAAAGAGCGCCTTAAACGGAAATTCCTGAGTTGGAGAATGGGCGGTTTCTGAAGCATGGGACAAACAAGGTGGTCAAACAATCAACAAGTAAAGGACCTGACAGGACACGAGTTTCGGATTGAAGGATTTCAAGGGCCGAGCGTAGCTTTGGTCACAGGTCACAGGTCACGGGTCCATTTTGGTTGACAGCTCCGGGAGGCCGAGGTCCGGTGTTTCTTTTCAGCTTCGAAGGTTTGAGTCCTCGCTGTGGTGGAAAGGTGCTGTCCCGAAGCTATCAGCTGCGCTTGGGGCAAATCCGGATGTGTCCAGGCGGGTCCGACGTGCCTGTCACTGATCTCACAACCAAGGGAGCCCTCAGTTTTCCACGTCTGGTCCCCCTCCGCAAATCTGGGCGGGCTCAGCTGAGCATACAGGCATGCCACAACCCCCCCCCCAGTGCCGAGGCGGGAACACACAGCATCCCTATTCCAACAGTGAAGCAAATATGGTCTATAGATGTGTTGCCCGAAGCCCTGGCACAAATTGGATTAGGGGAATGAATCCACTTGTCATGTTTGGCAGAAGTTCAACCTTCGTTGCTGAACAAGAGGAGCAGCAACCAATCACCACCCGCACCACCCTCACCTCACCTCACCTCACCTCACCTCACCTCACCTCACCTCACCTCACCTCACCTCACCTCACCACTGCCACTTCGGATCCGGCCATGGACAGCTCAGATGCCGAAAGCTGGCACCTCAATCGATCGATGCTTTCTTCGCAGAGGGGCCGAAAATTTCGGCCATGCTTGGCCAAGGCCTTGCAGTGACGAAAGAGGTCTTGTTTTGTTTTGGTTTTGGCAGGTTCTTGAGTCAGATGCGGGGTATCATGTTGTATTTGTAGGGAACTTGGATACTTGAGCTCGGCGCTTGGAGTGTGTGTCACGTGAAGTCAGCACGTAAGCTGGCAAGCTTTGTGGGATCACTCGGGGTTTATCCCCACGGTGATACAAGAGAATCTCCCTCCTTATATGGGGGGTGAGTCTTTGGGGTTAGGCCCTTGTTGTATCACAGAAGTGGATTCCATTTCCCCACAGCGCTGGCAAGGATCTTCGCTTAGCACATGGAAGCTTCAAACCAAAGGTCAAATTCCCGCGGACTGGGGACGATGGCTTTTGTTGTGAGGCTTGCTGGGGAGTGCTTGGAACAGGCTTTCTTAGTCCCACTTTGTGAAACGAGAAAGATACTTTGCACTGGCAGTTGGTGGAACGGATGCCCATTTGCGTCTCAGTTGCCCAGCGAGTCAACTTGAAGTGCCCGTTTGGTTGGCCGCGAGCGTATTTCGGGTGTCCTTGACCAACAGGAAACCCAGCTTTCCGACCAAGGAAACCAAGGTCACAGGGTCTGCCTTTCTGCTCCTCCAGATCTCCGGAGGTATGAAGAAACCCCCTTTGAGGCCTTGGGATTCTGCGGGAGGGTACGGATCGCCCGAAGCAAGCGGCTGGTAAACAAACCGCGTGAATATCTAGACATCTCTCCGATCAATCTGTCCATGACATCTGTAATTCAAGCAATTTCGCTGAGCGACCTCTCGTCCTTCTCTCGCAATCTAGTCGCGCCATTTTTTAAAGTTTAGCAACTGATTTGGGTGGATTTGCGGGTGATTGGGGGGAGCTGGTCTGGCAAACTTTGGCAAACCTTGCGAGTGATATTGTTTTCAGCCACATTCCTCGCACTCTCTCAGGCGATACCAGAAACAAATGAAATGGCCATGAGCTCGGAGAGATTGCTTGCGAAGACTTGCCCGACTCGCACGCGCAGCTTCAATTTGAAGGCGGAACCGCAGAAACGAACGCAGCCTGCCAGAATGCCACGCCCTCTCGCAGACTTTCCAGGTCTGTGGCAAGAACCCGCGGTGTCTTTTGTCCTGTCGATCGAGCATCTCCATGGATCGTGGCGATGTGCAAGCTGGAAATGCTACTTGCGCTTTTGGGGCTGCACAGGCGCGAAGCCTCCCGGAATATCGCCTCTGTTACATGGAGGGTTGTCCAAACTATGGACCCCTTTTTGGACCATGGTTAAAGGCGGGCCCCATAAACCATGGCCCAAAAAAAATACTCAGTTTTGACAACCCCCCCACACGCTGCAGCTGCTGGGACCCTGTCTCAAGAACTTTTCGGGCCAGCAAATGCCCAAAGTGCGTGGTCATATTGATCCAGTATTGCTCGCAGAGTCGCCAAGGGATATCGCCCAATTGACCTTGGATTTGGGAATCCGTCTGCTTGATGCTTGAAGGCAAAGGGAACCTAGGCGAGTTCATGTGTAAACAATAGCCTAGCTGACCTGGCCTGGTTCCCCTTGCCAGCAGCGCTTGGGCGCCCTCTAAGTAGGCCACATGTGAAGCGCAACCCCTTTGAACCTATTTGTTCTCAGGCGAACACGCCACCGTTTTCCGCACGCAAGTGACACACTTTTGGCGCAAGCTCTCGCTGACATCTGTCTGCAACAACGTGTCCATGACGTCTCCGGGCGCGGTCTCGCAGCGCAATCTTTCTTGGCCATCCGCGGGCAATTTCTCTGCGCCTCTGTCTGCGCTCTCTCTCTCTCTCTCTCTCTCTCTCTCTCTCTCTGCACCATCTTTTGCTGCAATCTTGGCGCGCAATCTTTCTGCTTTCTCTTGAATCTATCCGCCACTTCTCTCTGCACAATCTCTCTTTGCGCATTGTGCCAGTCTATGTGGCAATCGTGTCTGATGAACCTCTCCAGGTTGCTCAAGCTCAAACCGGAGCCATCCGATGGGTAGGTTCCCAGATGTTTGGCCGGTCGCCACTCCGGAGAACCTGATTGAAGCAACATTAGCAACTTCAAAGCCAATAATGCAAAAACTTAAGCACACACAAACAAGAATAAACTGAATGGGGACAAATCGCACAAGCAAGTCACAACAACTAAACATGAAACAATGGCAACTGTAGGCTTCAACCAGCAACCACTTCAAACACACCCACGCACCAAAAAGGCCAAACATAGCGCGCAAACAACTAGAAGCAGATACAAGACACAACAACTGCAACTCAAGCTGAAGCAACAACAGCAGCAGCAGCAGTAGCAGCAGCAGCAGCAACAACAACAAGAACAATTACCCCTACCCAGATCAACTTAAAACAGACCTCCCCCGCGACCGGCGCTTGGGTACTCCTTTCCTGAACCTCCGGTTCTTCCGACTTCTCCGGCCATGTAACCCAGCACGTCGACGAGAATTTCGAGTTTCTCAGGTTGTGGATCGCCGGAGGGTCTGAGCATGGAGGAGTTCACAAGGCCAGGTGAGCCACTTGCTCAAAACCCGGGTAAATGAAGCGGATGAAGGTTAGGGCCGGGACAATCCCAGCAATAAATAGCTGCGGATATCCGCCTTCTTAATTCCTTACATGGTGAAGGGTAGACCATTTGAGTACCGGGTTTTGATTGTGACTCAGATGAAATGGGTTGCCCTTTTTTTGCTTGGACTCGCTCTGTGGCAACGAAATGCACGGCGTTTTGACCGCTTAGGGGGTCAGAGCCCAAAAGCTGCCAGAACGGATGGAAAGGACGAACGCCTGCGTTTTTTTTTCTTGGGGGATGATGAACAAAAATTGTCCAGAGCCGTTCACTTAGCTTGCCTCTTGAGATGAGGTTACCAGGTTGTATCAACATTGGACAGGCAGGGGGGACACCTCGGGGCCCAAAGGCTGCCTCTGGCAGGATGCAATTGGAAATCCCTTCCGCCTTGGGCCGGAAGTCCATCTTCCGCAACGCTTTCGCAGGTTCCAACTTGCAAAAGCCACTGATGTTGGGGTTCCCAACCGGTAGGTACTTCGGCCCCTAACCTCCTCAAGAGAGCAGGTTGTACTTGGGCAAACCAACTGCAGAAACACAAGGCCCCCTGGGTGTCAGGGAATTTCCTTGAGCAAGGGTGAGTCATTTGCGGCTTGAGGAACCACACGCGCGCCAGAATACAAGGGGCCGGTGAGTAGCTAAAAGTCCATGTATGGGACACAACAAATTTTGACTGTTGCGTACATGAACCACTGACAATGTTGTGCTAGATTGCAAACCCATCCATGCCCTGCTCAACTGCACATCAAAATTAATGTGGGGTTCAGTTGGAACTCTTGGGATCCCTGGTGGGGGGAACCCGCAGGGTTCCGAATGCGCAATAGGCTAGCGCGAGACTCACCTTTCCGGTAACAGAATGGTTGGATGAAACTTTGTAAGAGTTACTCAATTAATGGTTAAGAAGACCCCAAATCTGGTAAGATCCACCATGAGTCTTTATTAGACACTCTAAATTGTTAAGCTAAATGACATTATTTAGGACCCAAACTGGTAAAATGGTTAGAGTCTTCCAATTGAGTCCTACCATGAAATGTGACCGTTCCCATACCTGCGAAGCCCATTTGAAAAGAAAACAAACGCCTTCGAGCAAAAAACACCAAATGTTGGTCGTTGTTCGGAAAACATATCGTTGTTTGGAAAGACGGTTGGTTGGGTGCAACGACCAAAATTCCCCGCTGTGTTTTTTGTTCGGGTAGTACAAAAGCATGTACAAGCCAGTTGTTTCTTGGTGATGTCGCAAAGAATTGCATCTTTCGGGGGGTTGACGCCATACCCAAAGCAAAAAAGGGGTATTTGGAGAAGGGTAGTACTTCTTTCACACCCAGGTATTATTTCGCGCGCTTTAAAGCGCCGGTCGAAGCTGATGGTGTCGCAGGTTGCAGGACGAGCTCATGGCTTTGCGGCTCTACCACGAGGACAAAAAATCCGCAAGCCGCGGGGTCGGAATGGCGGGTTCGGTCCAAAGGCGGGGGATTCGGATGCCATTGAAACCATGGGCGAAGAAATGGCCGGCCCCGGAAGAGGATCTGGAAAAATGTTTGGCGGTTTTCTCGGGTTCCAGGTCGATCTGGGAAGTCATCACCATTGATCGTTCAGTTTCGTCATCCGAATTGGATGGCCATTCTTTGAGGTCTGGGCTTCCCTGAATCACAGGAACTGGCTCCGAGTCAGGACCCAGGGGTTGAATTTTTGCGTGGTTGAGCAGATTGCCTAGGAATTGGAGCCCCCAAAAGGGATGGCGTCCTATCCCCATGAAAAAAATGCGGACCGCCCCGAACCAACAACCGGTTTCCAAAGCTCCTGTGCCGGGTACCCCCCGCTCCATCGGCCCACTGGATGCCCGAAATATCCGCGAGTGAACCAAACGTAGTCAAACACACACCTCAACAATGTAAGAGTGAAACCACCGAAAAGGCATCAGGAAACGCATCAGTACTCGTAACGTGTATCCAAGTGTACCCAGAGGGTCCGTGCGGATGAGAACATAAAGCCTCGCTCCCTGACTTCCTGGTCTGTAGTTACTTTTTGGGAAGATCACTTTAGTGGCAAATAAACAATTTTGTTTTGGGCGGGGGGGTTCTGGGCAAATAAGTAGTTCCGACCGTTTTTTGGGCCAATCCACTGGATGTGAAGTGAGCAGCGCCATGTGGGAAGAACTAG